ATGGGGCAAGAAACCCTGCAATAGGGAGTTATGAACAAACCTGCCTGCATAGAAGTTTCTTCCTACCCTCCCCCAATTAGTTTATGCCGTGAACATGAGGGTTCCCAGACTCTTGGATTTTAGTTTAAAAAAAAAAAAACAGACTTACACCCCTCTTTTCTCTCACTAGGTCTTTCACAGTAGGGGCTTATTTAGGCCTGGTCTACACCTAAAACTTAGGTCGACCTAGCTACATCGCTCAGGGCTGTGAAAAATTTCATGCCCTGTGCAATATAATTAGGTCAACGTATCTCCCACTGTAGGCACAGCTAGGTCGACAGAAGAATTCTTCCATTAACCTAGATACTGCCTCTCAAGGGGGTAGATTTACTACAGTAATGGAAAACCCCCTTCTGTCACTGTAGTAAATGTCTATACTACACTAGTAGCATAGACACACCCTTAAACTAGAAAGTTTTGCTGCTTTAATTATACTAAGATAGTTAAAGCAGCCACCCATGCCACCCCCCATTCCATCCCCAAGTGTGAAAGCAATTATACTAGGATAAAAGTGCTTACACTGATATAGCTTATTTTGCTTCCTGAACCAAAATAAGCTATACCAGTATAACCGTATCCACACTGGGGGCAGGGCTACACTACAAACTTGCATTGGCACAGCTGCGATACAGTAGTGCTTCTGGTGAAGATGCTCAAAGCTGATGGGAGAAAGCTCTCCCATCAACGTAATAACTTCACTTCCGTGAGAGGTGGTAGCTATGTCAGTGGGAGAAGTTGTCCTGCCGACATAGCACTGTCTACACGGAGGGGAATGGGGGATTAAAGTTGGTATAACTAAATCGCTCAGGGCAACCTAGTTATACCAAAATAAGTGTGTAGTATAGACCTGGCCTAGGACTTATACTGGTATAATGATATCAGTAAAAAGTCACATCCCCTAACCATGGTAAAACTTTTCTAGTATGGACTAGGCCTAAGTAACTACTAAAATCATGAAAACTCAAACTTTGAGATAAGTTTGCCAATTTCAAGCAATACAGTATTATAAAAGTCCTGTTTCTTGAGCACTTGTCAACAATACATGTATATATAAAGAAGTTAAGAAAGCTTGAAGAAGAAACATCCCATCCCTAAATTCAGACTCCCTGAGCATCAAGACACAACTTAAAAAGCAGCCACTACAACACGTAGAGAGCTTTCCTGAATATCGTTACTGATCCAGAAGTAATGAAGTAGGAGGTAACATGACCCCAGACCACAAATCACTTCTTTCCCCTAGTGCATACATATGGAGCTCAGCAGCTACCATCTGTCTGGTCTTCCATTTACAACCTATTGAAACATGATCACTGAAAGATCATGTTAAACCAAAATATATAGTTTTAACCCTTAAATATGAGGTTTATTGTATTTTAGTTTCTTCAGAGGATTACAAAAAGTTTTTTTTAAATTACATAATAAAATCAGACCAAATTACAGAATATTAATATGGATAGATAGATAAGATAGATATTCCTCACAGAAACATAATAAAAAAAAACAGATTTGTGGTCAGCTTTTGAGGAAAGGCTTTTTAGATAGTCTTTAGTGAGAAGAGCCACTTACTTGTAAACACTTTCCCAACCCCATTGAAGTAAATGTCAAAACTAGCATTGAGTTAGAGAAGGATCAGGCTCCTCATATTAATATTCACACAAGTTATAATATTAAACACTAGGCTAACTGAAAGCCCACATTAGCACTTTTAAAAGATAATATATGGGTATAGGATTCCTCTGGTTTTGAATTTTAAGAACTTTAAATGATCACATAATTACTAAGTGCCTGATCCTGCAAAGACTTGTGCACGTTTAATTAATGCTCTTTGATGGGTCCCATTGAAATGAATGAGACTGCCCACAGTGCATAGGATTAAACACACCGACATTTTTGCAGGATCAGGGCCTAATTCTTTTAAGAGCCCCAAACAAAGAGATACCGTTGTATTTAGACTAGTATTGCAACATTAGGAAGTATAAAATTCCATTCTTTAGGCATGTACCCCACTGGAAAATATTTTCTTTGGTATTTGTTATACAATGTGAATGCTGTACACCACCTACATATAACCAATGGAGGCCTGATGACGATTAGGGCTTTTGCATGATAATGAAATGCAAATAATTACTAATAGTGTAGCTAAGAGTGTAATTCTTTACCATTAATTAGTACTGTAAGTTAGCATTAATTGTACATTTTTATCTCATTTTGAGAAGTTTCTTTCAAGCATGAAAATACCTCTTTATTGCTTATATACTTGTTAAAGAGTATACATGTCTGAAAGCTCTAATTTTTAAAAGTTCATTGTACTGTATCTATTTATCTCAGAAGCATTATGATTTCTGAAGATCCTCGTAAATGTTATTATAAGGTTACCTTTCTCATCTTTGACAAGGTATTACTTACACCGCATTTTAGTGTTTTCAAATGTTAAAAAGTTCGCCCATTATGTTCAAACTTCTGAAAAGCTTTTATTCCCTCAGCACTTAACTTGTGGAAGCATCAGACATCTGTAAAAGCACAGCCTGTGCAAACTGTAAAAAAATATTACCAGGCCCCTTTCTCAAATACTTTGATTGAAATTCATGTATATCAGATACACTGTACTAGCTCTCATGGTTTATAAATTCCCCTCCGCCCCCCTACCCCTCACCACACTCCTTTATCGCTCATAGCAGATATAAAAATATGAATAGTTGTCTTCCATCTTCTGCACAGCTTCTTTCACAAACTTCAAAGACAATTTACTCCCCAGAAATATAAAATTAAAAATCTCATATTATTTAAGATAAACAATGTTTTTCTTTTATTAGAAAAATTAAATATTGAAAATGCTAGTTTCATGTCAATAAAGGTTTAAATCATGTGAGACAACTGAAGACGATTGGCAACAAGTATTCCTTATGGCCAAACATCCTTTTAAAACATCCTCCACAAATGGTTAGCTCACCATACCAATGTGGGGGGATAGGGGAAAGAAAACCAGTCATCGCAGGTTTATTGCTGGTCATCATTCTTTATTGTTTCCAACACAGATAAAGAATAGGTTTCTACATGGTTTGACCTTTGATGAGTAGTAAGACATGGAGTAAATTGAAATATGAAGATGGCTAAGTCAAAACCTGAGAACCCAGTGGTTAAGGAAATAAGGAGCATATAAAAGTCCATTATTTCAATCACTAACTCAAGTGTTAATGTAGAAAAAAGACAAAACAGATGTGCTGCATTATTAACATTCAGCGTACAACTTCAGAAGTTATGTTTTTATAAGCCATCCAGCACTGGACATAGGCGATGACGTGCATGTAAACCAAAAATGACAACTGAGTACAAGCTATGCTACTTTTAAAAGCCTTTAAACAAGTGCTGAGTTTACAGTGTACCTCCCCAACCCCATTTTTCTCCACATGCAGGTAAAAATGTTATTATGTTTTGCCCTGATTAATTTCATATTTAATAGCACTTTGGGATCTTTTTAAGACAGTTTTAAAACAGCTATTACAGCCATATACTAGGGGACACAAAGGGATATCCCTGAAGATTAGCTGCCTTCTAGTTACCCAACAAACCTGTACCATCCTTGACACACTGCCTGAAAGATAAATTTATCATTTTGACATTCAACTACTGCTTGAACAAAGAAAACCACAAAAAATGGGGACATGTTTTATCATACCCTGTACTATAATTATTTAACACAACATATTCAGGATATTTAAACACTGCAGAGACTACCTGTATAATTCTGAAAAATACAACTTGAGCTCCTCCAAAGACAGTTTATCGCCTGCAGCACGATAGATGCTATGAACTGCATGATAGTATCCCTCACTTTTCCAATCAAAAGGTGCTTTTAGCCTTGGTGATGCAAGAATGGTGTTTACAGTTGAACAGTTACCAGTGCAGCAGTAAAGAACTATTTCCAACCATTTTTACAGAGTGTATTTCAAAAGAAATGAAAAGCAGCTGATACTATCCCAAAGCTCTTTGAAGGAAGAAGAAAAAAAAAGTACTGAAGACAGTGCAGAAACTAGACAGTAAAAAAAAAATCAGCTGTTTTGATTTCACAGATGTAGTTGAATCCCAATTTTACACAGGATCGCAGGGTATTTAAAATCAGGACATTTACTGCAGAGAGTTCTGCTAGGAGACGTAGCTATTTCTTAAACAAAGTGTATACATTTTAATTGCAGATTTAATCTGCTTCGTTTAAACACTTTTGCAACGTTTGTTTAATGCCACAGAAGCTGCACTTTCACAACAAGCGTTTCAACTCCGATTCCAAGTAGTTTATATTAGTAAAACAAGAACGCCAATTAGACTACAGGATCGTACTATAAAACGAGCTTAACCAGGAAGTGCATCGACCATGTTACAGTCTAGCAGATTACAGAACCCCGCGAATTTCTTCCTTGCCTTAATGCATGCACAGACTTTGGGGCAATCGCAATGCAGATTAACAACCACACCGAGAAGGAAATTAACTCTCTCGTCTTTTAACAGGTTGAAGCGCTCTTCGCCCTAGCGGTTCCATTCCGTCTCAAGTTTACAGTGCGGAACAGGGTTTGGTGGGCTGCAAAGGTTTCCATAACAATCTGAGAACATGGTTAGGCTGAAATAAAATCAGAGTTTGTTGAGGTTTTTTCATAAAATAACCAGCTTGGGGGGGGGAGAGAAAAGTCAGTTGTGTGAGGGATTCAACCCTTCTGCGAGCTGCTGCTGCCTAGGTCCCTAAATCACTGACTCGAGGCGCATCCCAAGGAAGGGGCAGTTGAAAACTGCAAGCAGACAAGGTTTAAGGTGACCGTTTACACTGGCCTCCCAAATCTGCCTGCTCCCAAATCAGCCTCCTCTTAGGATCTGCAAAGTCAGCACGGGGCGGCTGGCTCCTAGAGGAGTGAGGGGCTGCAAGCACAGAAGCCGAGGCGGCTGCTGCTCCCTGCTAAGGGACGGGCACTTACCAGCCTTGCCTCAGTCTGCCACGGGGGCTGGGAGCAGCGGCGCGCTTCCCCGAGCGGAGGAAAGATGGTGGTTTAGCAGCGGACCACCCATCCCAGCGTATATGCATGCAACAGCCGAGAGGGGTTAAGCTCTGGAGGTGGAACAAGCGCTTTCTAACGCCACCTGCTGTACAGCTCTGCAGCGTTATTGGCTGCTAGGTGACTCCCCGAGGCAAGCGGGCGAGCCAGCCCCAGCCCCCTCCTACCCTTCCTTTCCTGGTCCTTAGAGGAGCCTGGGCTTGTCCTGTTCCTTCGCCCCCGTTCTCCGACCTCAGGTGCCTGGTGGAAGCGCTACACCTGCCGCGCTTTGTGCAACTGCAGGGGTGAGAAAGTCACTAATATCCCCCACACCATCCCCTGCACAGAGCTGGGGGCCAGAGAGCCCAGACCCTTTCCCTGCCCGAGGGGAGCGAGGGGGCTAAAGGGCTCAGACCTAACGCCCCCCTCCGCTCCCCCCAGCAGAGGTTTGGGAGAATGACGACAGACAGAAGGCTCAGACTTCACGGAGGGCAAAGTTGGAGGCAAGAGAGTCTCTCATTTCCACTCCCTCTGCTCCTCTACAGCAGCAGCAAGCCTGCCTGGCACCCACCCCTGACGCACAGGGTGCCCAGTGCAGGATGCACACAGGAGAAGAGCAAGTTGTACCTTTTATCTAGTGGCAGCAACACTTAAGAAATAACTTTGCATTTAGAACAAGTAAAGGCTTCTCTTAGAAGTGGCATAAAAAACAAGGAAATGGAAGTGGGACTAGCATATAGAAAAGATTTTGGCCGAAGCCAGTCGTTAGCACCAAACCACTGAAATGCTGTCAGGAATTTGTAACTAAAAAAATAAAATAAAAATAAAGCAGCTTTTCCGCGCCCTTTTAGCATATCTGCAATAGCCATGTTGGTCAAAAGAAAGAGTGAACGATTGTCCCAAAGAATAACTTGTCCCACTGGGATGAGGTGGAGATGCAGTAACATAAACCTTTTCCTGGTCTACCAGTATTGGCTTCACGCCATGCGGCCCAAGATGTTGAGTCTGTCTCAGTGACTTCCTTCATCTCAGGTAGCTAGGTGCTGCCCTGCATCTTCGCCACCTGTGTTAGCCATCATTTCATGGTTCTCGTTGGACCTGTCCAACTCACATAATGCCCAAGGTGATATTTCGGACAAGTCTTCATTGCTGATGGCATAGCAAAAACAAGCAATCCCCTACTTCACATGTTACACCCCTCCACCACAATGAGGTACAGGTCAGACTCGGGGAAGGGGGAGTCAGCATCATCTCAGCACGACAACCAAGTTCAGGATCTATTCAAGCTGTAACCTCTCTATACTGTTGTATGGATGCGAAACCTGGACACTATGCTGCTCAGATTGGGCAAAGCTGGAGCCTTTCCACACACAATGCCAACATCGTATATTGGGCATAAAGTGGAATGACTTCATTAGTAATGCAGATGTTTGTGGTCGCTCCGGTCTACAGGCTACCGGGGCCGTTGTCTGCAGATGGCATCCTACGCTTTTCGGACATGTCGCAAGAATGCCACAAGATGTTCCAGTGAACACTGAGGGGTGGAGGCAGCCCAAAGGTAGACCCCCTATTACATGGGTTCATCAAGTCTGTTCCAGTGTTGGACTCTCAGGCTGTCAAGCCCTTGTGACCACACAGGAATGGACCAATGGTGAATGATCACTACGGCCAACCATTCGGCTAAGCTTTGAAGAAGAAGAAGAAGAAAATAGCCATCCCAGTACTCATTGTTTAATCTCAAAATTAAAACTAAAGTGTGCAAGTCAGTTGTTAGGCAGGTGAGTAGGATTGAATTACAAAGGGCCAAGTGATCTGAAATTACATGGGATGTGGGAGCCTGCACATCAAGTCACCATTTGTAATTGTGGGGACACGTAGACAACAAGCAGGCACTATTATTACTGGTGCTAGAGCAATGGTGAAAAAGCTAAGGAAAATGGCAGTGTACCCTGTCAGAACAGAATCTGGCCCTTATTTAAGTAGATATTTTATAGTGACACTTGGGGGAGTGAGGGAACCATTTTGATAGAGGGGAAAGGACTCAGTGGCAAATGAACTCCTTTTTGCCCAAGGAATATAGAGGCACTGTCTTTGCACCCCTTGCTATAGCTGACGGAGTACCCCTGAAGAGGTCTGATTATATCTTCACTCCAACAGGGAGCAGCTCCTCTTGCACTTCGCATTAGGAGCAGCTGCACCAAGAGAAGAAACCTGCTAAGCCTTCTTCCTATGAGACATCTTCTCCTCAACACACTTTATCTCTTCAGCCAAGTACAAGAAGAGGAAGTAGGTGATAATCCTTTTGGAACACAGCACTTAACACTTATCTAGTAGGTGATAAATGCTGCATTCTAAAGGGATTAGCATGGAAACTTCACTATAAACAGAGGAAAAATCCATTAAAATGCATTGAATCAGCTGAGGACTTTTACTTCTCTATGGGCATGTCTAGATTAGCTCTTTCTCTCTAAAAGTTCCCACTACTGCTACCACAGTTTCATAGATTCATAGTTTTTTTTATAGCCAGAAGGGACTATTATGTTCATCTGGTCTGACCTTCGGCATAACACAGTCCATAGATCCACAGACAATTTCTGCATCAAGCCCATAACTTCTGATTGAACTACAGTGACCTAAAGAAGAGCTCTGTAAACTCAAAAGCTTGTCTCTCTCATCAACAGAAGTTGGTCAGATAAAATATATTACCTCACCCATCTTCTTTCTCCGAGCTACAACATATCTTTCAGAAAGACACCCTGTCTTGATTTGCAGATTTTGAATGATGGAAAATCCATCATACCAGTAGGTAATTTGTTGCAATGGTAATTACTCTCACCGTTAACACTTTGTGCCTTGTTTCTAGTCTGAATTGTCTACCTTCAGCTGGATCCTGTTATGCCTTTTTCTGCTAGACACAAGAAGAGGCATCTACTATCAGAATCTCTTTCCTAGGTAGGTACTTGTAGACCATGATAAAGTAACTCTTACCTTTTGCTTAAATAAATGAACTAGATTATTGAACTTTGTAAATTTCTTACTATATATTTAATAATAATCCCAATAAATAACTCAATATTGAGTGAACTTTTTATATTTAGCACAATAAAAGCACAATAGTGTATTTTCCTCAGCCTTATAATTGTACTAATCGTGCAATATTTAAGGCACTTCCATGATGACTCGTATGGGTGAGATTTTCAAAAGCTCAAACTTTGTCAAACTTAAATGGCTCAAGAGCACAAATTATATTGACTTCAAAGTCACTTAAATGCTTTTGAAAATCTTACCCTGTATTTTCAGGAGTTGAATTATTAGTACAAGAGAACTCCAAACTGGCTGAAGTTCTCAAATAAAGGGGGAATATTGATTTTTGAGCGAAGTCTGTCACTTTTTAAGAAAAGAAAAGAAATATTCTTCTCATTCTTCACTGATACTTGTTGAATGTTTCAAAAAAGCTACCTATACTCAATAACCTTTTTCTTATATCAGGATATTTTAATGCTCACATCCAATTAACCAAGTACCAAATGACTGTACACATAATGAAATTATCCCAACGTGTATTCAGCTATTGCTCATGGCTCTTTTTTCTGCATTGTTGCTGATGGTTCATCCTTATACTCCATATACTGTGAACCTAATTACGACTAGTGTGGATCAAGAATGATTCCACTGACTTCAGTGGCATGAAGCTGGCATTAATGAATGACAATCAGGCCCTTTGAGTCTAATATATGACCTTTGTGATACGACTGTACACCAGGGACAACCTCGTTAGGCACCAAAAATTAGTCTACTAGACATGTTTCCCAATTTCCCATTCAACAATCTACACCATTTTAAAGGACAAAGTTGTGTCAGCCAAGAATTTCTTCTCTAGTTTTTTTTTCTTTTAAATCGTCCCTCTGGATCACAAAATCCCTTTGATGATGTTATTATTTATATTGCCGTCGATCCTAGAGGCCCCAACCGAGATCAGTGCCCTATTGTGACTAGGCACTGTATAAACACATAAGAGTCCTGACCCTGAAGAGCCTACTATTTAAATAGACGAGACAAAGTGTAGAAGGGGAAATAGAGGCACAGTGAAGTGATTTGCTGAAGGCCACCCCAATCCGTAGCAGAGCGAGGAATAGAACCCAGGCCTCCTGACGTCTAAGCGTGTGTCCTATCCACTTGGGAACACATATTTCCTTCTGTTTTTCAGACATCTTCCTGAGAAGTTCCCTGGACAGAAAAGCCTACTAGAGTACATAGGCAGTTAATTTCACCTAGTAGCAATTCTGAAGACTTCCCAGTCCAGCTGCTAGGCTGGTTGCCAGCCCCCAGTGTAGCAGCACTGATGCTGTGTATAGTGAGGCAAAGGTACAGTTTGCACTAGTGCAGTTTACCCTGAGTTGAAGCAGGGGGTGCAAGTTGCTGCTTGTATCAGCTTTGCCTACCTACATTAGGAGTTTGCACCAGTGCAGCTATGCTGGTGACTAGCCACCGGTGGCTGAAATCCCCAGTGGAGACAGGGCCTTAGATGTAAAGCAAGCCCACCAAAGAGCAGTGGTGCATGCAGGACGGGAGATGGTAATTCCAACTGAGTGCCAATTCCTTCCCCAGCATACATTTTGGCTCAGCTCCTAACCCCTCAAGAGTTACAATTTCCTCAAAGCCTTTTGGAGGAATAGTTCTTCCAAAAGAAGCGCATGAAGTAAACAAGGAGGCATATCTTCACTGGTCAATTTGAATCACAGAGCCTCAGTAGAGAGACAATGAGGAGATAAAAAACAGACTGTACAGTGAGAGGATCTTAGAAATCTAATCAGCTTCCCACCTTTCAACCCAGTTCATTGTTTTCTCAGCTAGGAATTGGATGATCTTCCTGTCATTCCTGCTCATCTTGTTAGATGGGTCTTGTAGATTTACTTGTCTCAAGTAAAGGAGAATGGAACCTGGAAGAGAGGTTAAAATGAGAATACCAAAGCCACTTGAATGACAGCTTGGATCAAGCTCGTAATGACCTGGTTTGTGTAGGCCAGGTGTTATGTAGATTGCAGCTTGCTATTGTGCAAAATTTTGGCAACTCACACTTCAACAGCCA